ATAACCATACAAACTCGTGTGTTTGTCTAACCGTTAATGAATATAACGCTTTCTTCTAATAATTTCTAAGCCAGTTTGGGTAAATATAACACTTATATAAAATTCTTGGTGAAGGCAGATACTTGTATAATATTAAAGATGCCAATACAAGAGTGAAAAGTATATAAGTTCTCGAGTCTGATTTATTAAGGAGTGTACCCAGCGACATGTGATTTAAGGGATCAGAGGAAAGCAATAAATAATGGACATAGAAGTGTGGACATTGAGGTGTGTGTTACTGCGAGTGGAACCAGGAGAACCGCACAGTTTGAGCAATAAGGGACATTACACACACACACAAATCACAATAACGTGATCCATCAAATGAACAAATCCACGGCCCTTGTGGATTTGTTTATTTAATAAGGGGACATGCTTCCATTCCATCAAAATGACCAGGGACCAGATTCACGAAGCAGTTACGCAAGCACTTAAAAACCTGTACATCTTTTCTCAATCTTTGGCGGCTTTGTTTACAATTATTAAACAGATAATCAGCTCCGAAGCACCAGGAGGCTGCTTATAACAATAACAACAGTTGATTGGCAAGTTTTCATGCTTGTAAATTGTTTAATAAATGTAACCAAAGCCGTCAAAGACTGAGGAAAGACGTACAGGTTCGTAAGTGCTTGCGTAACTGCTTCGTGAATCTGGCCCCTGGAGTCAGCTTGGTGGGCAGTACGTAAGTGACCACATGACGTTTCCTGTTTCCGGTTGTAATGGCACGAGTGCAGGTACTGGGACACGGTGTATGGTGGCGGGCAGTGTATTAATGTCCATAGAAGCGTGCCCAGCTGTTGCCTCTTGTTTATCAACATGCACGAAGGAGGATTAAAGAGTATATTTTAGAGTGCGCCTTCTAAGAGTTATCATAACATACACGGAGACATTTAGCGATTTGCGTTTGTTATTGTTGCCTGCTATTTTTACCCAGTTAAGCAACTTGTTTAAGGGAACTAGAATAAACATTTAGAAATTCCCCCAAATTTATACCGAACATCAATGTCTGCTCGTTATTGACGCCTCACTCCATAATTATAATACAAATATTACTGATGATAATACTTAGCAATGACCTACTAGCTGAGGGCATTGATTCGTTGAGAGCTTCAGGTAAACTACGAAGACACAAAATAACGAAACCTACATTGCCAGCCTGTACCTTAGCCAGGCATGCTTTGGTAACCTAATATCACTCGCTATCGTGCAAGATCCCCCCCCCCCCATATCTAAGGTTTAAAATTTAAACTAGTGAACCAACGTATTCGTATTATAACCGTTCGGTTGTATCTCTGAGAGTATATACCACCCACTAATACAGATGGAGTAATAATGAAATTATTAGTTCGTACTGGAGTACGAACTCCAGTAGTTCGGTGGAGTAGACAAAAGTACCAAAATCGGTGGTAGTAGACAACTTCTGTGCCTTTTCACAGCAGTTGTACGATTGTACTATAAAACACTTCTTAGTCAAAAATAACTAGAACAGCTGGAGGAGCGGCTCCGTTCTCTTCAATTAAGGACAAAAGTAGTCGAATAAAACCCTCAAGCCTAAACTAACCGATCACGCATAGGAAAAGCTAGAGTTTATGAATCCAAAATAAGCCGTAGATTGTCCGCTGTGGACTTTGCGTCAAATTATAATGTATTATTTGATAGAAGAGGTTGGGAGGAGAGAGAAGTCTATCATAGGGTCCAGGTAGCACAGTTGGCTTCGTTCTCATCGCACAATCGAGAATTGCGAGTTCGAATCCCGGGCGGGACAGAAATGGTTGGGCACATTTCCTTTCACCTAGTGCCACTGTTCACAGTTAGTAGGTACTCAGTTGTCAGCTTGTTGAGGTGTTGCATCCCGGGGAGGGTCAGTAACCACCCCTCCCCTGGGAGGGGGAACCTCGACTTAAGCCTAACGGTATAATAAATATAATATATAATATATATATTCGTTATATAATATATATAATATATATGTATATAATGTATGCGTGTAAATCACGAAATTTAATACGTGATGAAAAAAATCACGTATTTCTCCCTGATAATGCAAGTGCTTAATGAAAAACGTAATGTCATCGTGTACTACCCTGGTGCCCTCGGGGGATGGAAATGTTGCAGATATACTCTGAAGTCTCCATTCCCTTTGAAGGGTCTGGGTGGTGTAACTTACCGTAGCAGTTATGCCAGGTGCGCAAACACCTGTGCTTTCTGAGTTCGAGTCACCTTGCAGGGTGGGCGTCTAAGATATGTTTACCTCTCTCACTTGTGGTCTAAGCAAGTGTGTGTGTATATATATAATATATATAAATATATAAATTTATAAATTATACACTGGCTGCCTGTCACACGACACAGAATTATTATTATATTCACACAACTTACATTAGAGAGACTACTACGGTATATATAATGATGGGTATCCACGTGGACCTGTTCTTGTCTCGGTAACGATAGACTATCCTTACCCCCCCCCCCTCGTCCCATCCCAAATGCTTATCCTGACCCCTTCAAAATGCTATATAGTCGTAAAGTTTTGGCGCTATCCCGTGATAATTTCTATAAAAAAAAAACACTAGCTAGGCTACCTCAGACGCTTACCAGTCAAATATGCCAGCTAAACAATCCCTATCTAACTGATACGTATGCTCACCCAGCCTGAGGTTCCCACAAGAAGATTACTTTTAATAACACAATAAAGTTGCTGCCACAAGAAAAATGACAGGCAGGATAACAAACCTTTCAAACAAGAGATGTCAAAGCAATGACAAAGCCGGAGAAGTTGCCGACCGGGAACGTGCAAAAGATAGTTTATTGTCCGAATCCATTCAATAAAGCATCTAAATGATTGGGAATGTTAAAAATGTATAAATCCATATTCTTCACGACAAAAGCGAGAGATAATGATTTACACTCGGAAAATATTAAAGTACCTGGTTCCAAATGTGCACGTGGAAATAATTCGAGAAACTAGGATGCATGACAGGAAGTGCAAAATAGCCCCATTGAAAAGCAGATGTGCAATAGGTTTAATAGTTGCAATGAGAGACAATTCTCTCAACATTAACGGACCAAGACTTTTCAACACTTCCTCTAAACATGAAGAGGACCTCTTACAATGTTGAAAATAGAGCATGATAAACACCTCTGAAGTATTATTCATACGTCAGACTGCAAGCAGTGGTGTGTAACAGCCTTGTTTTGACCAGAACACCCACCTGGAGGCATTGCCAGAGACCGGGCCGCGGGGACATTGATTCCCGGAACCGACGAAAGGTTGGTACCCACACATATATACCAGCCAAGGTTTTCCTATAGGGAGGTATTCACACAAGACTGACCCACAGACACATATACTCGATTAATTCTAACAGGAATATACCCTCACCTACACAAGACTGTCCCACATATACCCATGGACCCGGGTGCCCACACATATACCCATGGACCCGGGTGCCCACACATATACCCATGGACCCGGGTGCCCACACATATACCCATGGACCCGGGTGCCCACACATATACCCATGGACCCGGGTGCCCACATATACCCCATGGCCCGGGTGCCCACACATATACCCATGGACCCGGGTGCCCCCATATATCCCATGGACTCGGGTGCCCACATATACCCATGGACTCGGGTTATCTTGAGGTTATCTTGAGATGATTTCGGGGCTTTTTAGTGTCCCCGCGGCCCGGTCCTCGACCAGGCCTCCACCCCCAGGAAGCAGCCCGTGACAGCTAACACCCAGGTACCTATTTTACTGCTAGGTAACAGGGGCATAGGGTGAAAGAAACTCTGCCCATTGTTTCTCGCCGGCGCCTGGGATCGAACCCGGGACCACAGGATCACAAGTCCAGCGTGCTGTCCGCTCGGCCGACCGGGTCCCCCCCCGGGTGCCAACATATACCCATGGACTCGGGTGCCCACATATACCCATGGACCCGGGTGCCCACATATACCCATGGACTCGGGTGCCCACATATACCCATGGACCCGGGTGCCCCCATATACCCCCATGGACCCGGGTGCCCCCATATACCCCCATGGACCCGGGTGCCCACACATATAACCATGGACTCGGGTGCCCACATATACCCATGGACTCGGGTGCCCACATATACCCATGGACTCGGGTGCCCACATATACCCATGGACTCGGGTGCCCACATATACCCATGGACTCGGGTGCCCACATATACCCATGGACTCGGGTGCCCACATATACCCATGGACTCGGGTGCCCACATATACCCATGGACCCGGGTGCCCCCATATACCCCATGGACCCGGGTGCCCACACATATAACCATGGACCCGGGTGCCCACACATATAACCATGGACTCGGGTGCCCACATATACCCATGGACTCGGGTGCCCACATATACCCCATGGACCCGGGTGCCCACATATACCCCATGGACCCGGGTGCCCACATATACCCCATGGACCCGGGTGCCCACATATACCCACACATATACCCCATGGACCCGGGTGCCCACATATACCCATGGACCCGGGTGCCCCCATATACCCCATGGACCTGGGTGCCTACATATACCCCCATGGACCCGGGTGCCCACATATACCCATGGACCTGGGTGCCCCCATATACCCATGGACCCGGGTGCCCACATATACCCCATGGACCCAGGTGCCCACATATACCCATGGACCCGGGTGCCCACATATACCCCATGGACCTGGGTGCCCACTTATACCCCATGGACCCGGGTGCCCACATATACCCATGGACCTGGGTGCCCACATATACCCCATGGACCTGGGTGCCCACATATACCCCATGGACCCGGGTGCCCACATGAAGATATCCACACCAGCCTGCCCCTCCCCCCCCCCACACACACATACCAGCCAGGGTTTCCTACACACCACTGACCCTCACATACCCATTTGGGCTGCCCGCAGGAAGGTACCCACACCAGACTGATACGCACTCACCTGAATAGCGGCCTCTGCTTGACTGAAGTGTCCCAAGAGGTTGGGCATCCTGGTGGTGTTGTAGAGCATCTCTTTACACATGGGTATAGTAATCCTTTCACACTTGCGAGGCGCTGTGCCCAGCCCGGGCTCCAGGTCCAGTGCCCAGCCGCCCACCACACTCAAAATCACCAAATTCACCCTCATTTTCAGCATTATTCTTTATTTAAATTCCAGGTCCTGATGCGGACAGAGGCCAGATGGGTGCTCGCCGGTGTGTCAAGGGCACGCCATCGGCACACGGCACTTAGGGAAGTGCTGGTTTCCAGAGGAAGGAGACTAGCATGGACGAGGGAGGAGAGAGGAGGTGCGCGAGCTCTCACTCCTCAGGTTAGACTTCAACTGGAGCTTGTCTTCCTCTCCTGCCCTCACCTACCTCTCCCACCCTGCCGCCAGCCCTCTCCCTCCCTCCCTCATTCAGGCCCACCAGAGCCACCATTGCCAGTTCCTGGCTCATACTGGCCATTACCACACCAAGGTTTCCACGCATCTCTGCATCTTCAGGCTTCCACCTGATAACTATACTGGCCGGCTCTTCAAGCTCTTGGCTGTATAACCTACGTTGATCGTTCACATTCAGTAACTCTTTTTTCGGGTATAAGTTCTATATATCCTCTAGAGTTCTTGGAGGATATATAGTCAATCTAGTTGTGGGTGTTGCTGTGTTGTGTTGTGGTAGGTGTGCTCGCCTAGTTGGGCTTGCAGGGCTTGAGCTTCGGCCCAAGTTGACACAATCAACTATAGATTCCTGAGCCTATTAGGCTCTATCATATCTACATATGGAGTCAGCCTCCACCACATCACTTCATAAGTGATATGTGTAGGTGTAGCTGTGTAAATGAAATAGTAAGAGATAGTGATGGGGCGCCGCTGCTTGCAGTGTTGGTCATCACGGAGTAATGGTTAAGTTAAACATGGCAGGAAAGTGGCAGACTGGTTTACAATGTAACAAAATTAAGCGACTGCTGCTATAAAAACACTCCATTACGTTTCTGTGAATATTTTGTTAAGAGGGATCTCTGGAGAATATTAACAGCCTAAATCAATTTTTTTTTATTATGGGTCCTTGAACAGCTTTCTACGCATCTTTGGTCACTTGACTGGGTAAATATTTATATTGAATGCATATTTGTATTAGGATAATTACATAATTTGATTTCTAGACGAGGATAAACATGCTAAAATATGTGAATGTGTATATAAAATGTTATTAAGCTCACATACGAACACAAAATAAAACCACGTCTGAGTGAGTTAAACACTGTCAACAAGCACACGCGCGTGTATACACACACGAGGAAGGACACGTCCGTGAATACCTGCGTGCACACACCTACACTCGGTGGAGTTCAGAGTGACACAGGTGTTTGCGAGTTGATCCTTTCCACCTCTCGAGTGACAAAACCCTATTCCAGGCCGGCCGCGGTATATTGTATCACCTTTCCCACGGTGGCCTTCCCCACACCATAAATACACCCACTCCTATCACCAAGCAGACCTCTCTGCCCCTTCAGTATACACCTCCACCTCTCTCCCCTCACCAAACAGACCTCTCTACCCCTCACACTCCCTCATATCACACAACCCTCTCCTCTCAAACTACATCCCGTCCAATCATACAACCCCCTCCCCTGATCATTAAATCCCTCCCCCTAACCATACAGCCCATCCCCTTTCATACTACCTCTCCACATCATACAACCTCCCCCCTCCCATCATCATACCCTTCCCCCTTACCATATAACCCCTTCCACTATCCTCACTATACAACGGTTTCCCCTCCCCTCACTATACAACGGTTTCCCCTCACCATAGAGGCTAACACCTCTGAGTTGAAGCCACACATTGGGGCCAGAAATCTTACAAGTCCCCTCACTCTTCCCCTCATCTTGTTATAGCGGACCTCTTCTGGTGCCATGAGTCCCTTCCTCTCACGCCTCTCCTTATCTTCCACCTCCTCTCCTTTACTCGATCTCCTATCCTCTTCATCTCCCTCCCTCTACCTCTCGCCTCCTCCAGAGCTCGCGCCCTTTGTTCTTCTCCCGCTGTCTCTCTCTCTCTCTCTTCTCTTCCTCCTCCAGTCTCTTTCATCTCTTCCCTAGGTAAAACAGGGTTAGTGAGGCTGAGTCACTACCAGAATACTCAGATTGTAAACTCTGTGATAAACCTTTAATGTATTCATTAGAACACTATATTGTTGAATGTGAAACCGTAAAGGACTTTAGATCTCCTGGCCTCTTGTACCACCAACTGTGTAACTATTTTATTGACTCAGGTGTTCTGGACGACATCCTAACAATTTATCCAAAATTTCCTTGTCCATTTTAAAGAATGAAGAACAATTTTTATTTATAATACTTCTAAGCTGCATCAGTTATCAACCCATCCCTGTCCTTGTGTGGCAGTGTACAACACATCCCTGTCCTTGTGTGGCAGTGTACAACACATCCCTGTCCTTGTGTGGCAGTGTACAACACATCCCTGTCCTTGTGTTTACAACACATCCCTGTCCTTGTGTGGCAGTGTACATTACAAACATCCCTGTCCTTGTGTGGATTGTACAACCATGTGGCATATATGTTTTCACATATCATACCTACAGTATTATGTGCTTCAGCCTACTATTGTCTTGTGTATGACCCTCTGTCCTGCGTGACAGTGAATACCACCATTATCCTCACTTTAATAAGACTTAATCGAAATCCTCAGATTAGGCAAAATTGTAATTAATTTTGTCAATAAAGATGTTAATAATATCTTCCCTTCCCAAGCTAGCCCCGGGGCACTCCACTTGCGACTGTTCCTCATAATGACATTATATATATATATATATATATATATATATATGTCGTACCTAGTAGCCAGAACTCACTTCTCAGCCTACTATGCAAGGCCCGATTTGCCTAATCAGCCAAGTTTTCATGAATTAATGTTTTTTCGTCTACCTAACCTACCTAACCTAACCTAACCTAGCTTTTTTTGGCTACCTAACCTAACCTTATCTATATATATAGGTTAGGTTAGGTTAGGTAGGGTTGGTTAGGTTCGGTCATATATCTACGTTAATTTTAACTCCAATAAAAAAAATTGACCTCATACATAGTGAAAAGGGTAGCTTTATCATTTCATAAGAAAAAAATTATAGTAAATATATTAATTCAGGAAAACTTGGCTTATTAGGCAAATTGAATAGTAGGCTGAGAAGTGAGTTCTGGCTATTAGGTATATATATATATATATATATATATATATATATATATATATATATATATATATATATATGGTAAGCCCATCTTCCCTGTGATAACCCTGACCTGCGCCAGTTGAGGAGTCCTCCTCCAGTACCGTGCGCCTCTACTCTCCTTATCACTCGTGTCGCACCATATCAAAAGCCTTACTGATATGACTATATTATACGATAATCTTACCTGCTTAAAATATGATTGAAAAGAACCAGAGTAAATTTGTAAAATATGATTGCTACTACTATTATCCAATTCACAGAGGAGTTTACATTTTTTCCCCTCTAGGAAAAAAGTCATGCAGGTCGGCGTTCAATCCCCGACCGTCCAAGTGGTTGGGCACCATTCTTTTCCCCCGACCCATCCCAAATCCTTATCCTGACTCCTTCCAAGTGCTATATAGTCGTAATGCCTTGACGCTTTCCTCCCTGATAATTCCCTTCCTCCCTCCCTCCCTCTAGGGCTTTCCTGCGCGAGCCCTATATAAGCCTGGGGCCGGCCCGCTCTCTTTTACGGGCTTACCATAGCCCGTGCTACATGGACACTTCGTTCCGAGTAGCTGAATCTATAACAATAACAACCCGCTCTCTTACTCCTGTGGACTTTATTGAGGTGGTGGATGAGTTTGATTCTTACATCACACTCTAAGAGACCGTAAGATTATATCCAGCCTGTTTTACAACTTCTTCTGGGTTGTTAAATCGCATTTGGTGCTACTTAGTCTTCCAGGATTAGTGTCTTCTTTTGATAATTAATCGTTGGGTGTGTGTTCTGATTCGTAGATGTATTATGTTAATGTTGTAGTGGTCTGTAAAGTATTTATCTAAACTGCTGACGTTTGCTCTCTTTGTATTGGAGTCTATAAGCCTGTTTAGCACGCACCTGGTGGTGCCTGAGCCTAGTGCTGTGTGCATGTGTACCTCTGTTCTTTTGCTCTTACAATACTTTTCAACATTATAAGTGGTTCATAACTGTACTTTCTAGCAGATAAACTGCCACCACCACTACCGACCGTCACCCACCACCACCACCACCACCCACAACTACCAACCGTCACCCACCACCACCACCACCACCCACAACTACCAACCGTCACCCCACCACCACCCCCACCAACCGTCACCCACAACTACCAACCGTCACCCACCACCACCACCCACAACTACCAACCGTCACCCACCACCACCACCCACAACTACCAACCGTCACCCACCACCACCACCCACAACTACCAACCGTCACCCACCACCACCACCCACAACTACCAACCGTCACCCACCACCACCACCCACAACTACCAACCGTCACCCACCACCACCACCCACAACTACCAACCGTTGTCCACTGCAGGCGTCAGGGTCCGGCCAGCCATAAGGCGCAAATACTTCTATGTGTGTTTATGACACTTGTCAGACTTACCCAGACCCGCATTGACACCCAGCTGGCGAGGGACCAGGGGCACGGAGGAAAGGTGAGAGACGACACAACTAGAGAGAGAGAGAGAGAGAGAGAGAGAGAGAGAGAGAGAGAGAGAGAGAGAGAGAGAGAGAGAGAGAGAGAGAGAGAGAGAGAGAGAGAGAGAGAGAGAATGAAGGAATGAAGAAGAATGAAGGAAGGGAGAAGGGGGAGGTATAAGGGAGAGTGGAGAGGGAATACGTGAAGGAGAGTGATGGGGGAGTTTACTGGCTGTTAATGTGGCCACAAGTCCGACCCTTTTCTTGGTAGGGGTCATCAAGCGGGGTTCTGGCATCGGTGTTTGGTAAATAAGCCCCGGCCTGGGTGAGCCAAACTGCTCCCCCTCGGCAACAGGGAGACACTGGCTCAGAATGTGGTGTAGGTTAGCCGCCGTCTGTGGTAAATATGGAAGCAGGTGCAGTAAATAAAGTAGAAGATGGAGTAAGGTGTGCAACGAGTTTACTGGCTCCTGGCACCTACAGTGAGTGAGAGGTACACTAAGCCACGAGGTCCACTAAGCCACAAGGTCCACTAAGCCACGAGGTCCACTAAGCCACAAAGTACGCTAAGCCACGAGGTCCACTAAGCCACGAGGTCCACTAAGCCACAAGGTCCACTAAGCCACAAGGTCCACTAAGCCACGAGGTCCGCTAAGCCACAAAGTACGCTAAGCCACAAGGTCCACTAAGCCACG